AGAGCATATGCTGGACTACTGGTGAGGCAGCAGGGTCCTGGGTGGAAAGGGGACCTCGTCTACGATCCCATAGCACTCTGGACACGCCTCCAGGATGGAACCTACCACTCTGCTGTGACTGTATATCCACTTATCCATGCCTCTGACAAGGGAGTAATAGTTCTTAAACTTATGCCCATGGGTAATTGATGGATCCCCTGCAATCGAATTTTTTGCTCAGATAGAAGGTCTGTACTTTTCACCAGATTCTCAAAGGAGTGTAAGAGAGGTTAAAAAAAAAAAAAAAGCACCTCTGTTCTGTAAGCGCACCGACCTTGGTAGGTTTCTCCAGGGCCTACCACAGTGTCTTTCATATCAACAGTGCTGGCTGGCTGGATGCGTGCATACCTGGCTCTGTGTTTCTCTGTCAAGCTCTAATTCCACAGTTGACCCAACTACCATGCAAACCGAATGATGCACTAGACAGGACCCAATCAATGAGACAGAATCTTGGGAAGAAATATTTGAAGTGGAAAATTTTTGTCTCTCAAGGGCTATAAAATGTGACGTGACAACGCACACTCAATGTTGTCCTTCCCATTTTCCCATCCGTTTTACTCTTTCACCAAGCAAAGAAGAGGACCCGAGTATCATTAAATGCAGCAAAGCATATAGAGAAATTACGTGGCATGTGATCTTAGTCCTGACTCATTATACACTTTACATTTTATAGCTGTTTCCCCATCAGAATTATAAATCTCCGTACACACAAAACCATTAATTTTAAATGGAGCGTATCGGAAAATCACAGCTCAGCAAAATAGGGCTTTTTCTTGATAAATACTGAATAAGTTATATACGCACATTGTGCTTTTAGAGACTGTCCAAACTACAGGGTGATTTGAGACTTCAGTCCCTCCTGAGCGCTGGACTTATTTCAAGAAGATAAAGTCAATGGTACCTGGCGTATGAAATCAAACACCCATCCTCGACTCTCTGACTTTGGTAGATAAAAGATAATAAACCTGTCATAAACCAAGACAAAGGGCCACCAGGGAGTGACAAAGCACTCTCAGGTTGAAATGTTGGCAGAACAGGCAGTGGAGATAGAGGATTGGTAAACATGCCAATCCTCCCGCTAACCTCGACTGAACAGCCTGGAAGGAAAACTGGCCGGGCCCTTCAACATGCTGGCAAGAGCCAACCCCCGACAGCCTGTAAAAGAGCAGAGAATGGGAGAAATGTGCTGGAGAACAGTGCTCTTCTGTCCCACCAGCACCCCACATCCCCAAGGCCACAATCTGTCACTGGATATTTTCATGCTGCTATCAACAAGCTGTATACAAAAACTACCTGGAGGCGGACTCTGACTCTGGCATTAAATACCAGAAGGGATAAAGTATCCCGCCAAGGACACACTTTTACAACCCTACATTCCTCTACCAGTGATCTGTATTCTTTTCCTTGTTCGATTAGAAAGAGGCGGCAGGGTACAATGGATGGATTGAATATCAAATCAAAAGTCCTAAGGTCTGATATGTTTTTCCACCACTGGACAAAAGACATCCTAGGATTCAGGAGGTCAATTCAGCTTATTTCTTACACCATTTGGATAAGAAGAAGGAGAATTCTTTGTAGTTTATTACCTCATTTCTACATTATCTTATTTATCTTCACAACTTCGCAAAGTAAGCAGAACTGGTGGCATGGTTCTGAGTGTGCCGATAAGAAATGGAAGATCAGAGACTTTGAGTAGCTTGCCTGGGTTCACATAGCAGTTTTGAGAGCCAAGTCCCAAGTTTTCTGACTCCAAGTCCAGGGTTCTCTCCAACATAGTCTTTTCCTAGATGGTCGTGAGAGCTCTGCTCCCCCTTAAACAGCTGCTCAAATGCTCAGATAACCCTTATACAGCAAGTCATCTTATAAGTGAAACTTTTATACAGGGGACCTTTTAGCAATTTGATAGGTAAATCCTTTGGGCAGATACAAAAGGTACTCATTTGGCACTGTATTCTGTTCTCTCTCTAATGGTCTAGAGTAAGCTTTATTTTTAGTAGTTTAATTACAAAATACAGCCACACTTATTAATGTTACCTTTATGCCTTTAGTGCAATTATCCAGTCTAGTCTACGGCCTTTGAAAATTTTTAAAACATTTGAAAGGCATTACTTACGGAAAACTTGCATTATTCATTCCGTTCAAGAAATATTCATTGAATGTCTACCAAGCACTATCCATGCATTAAGAAGACAAAAGTGGTCAAGATTAGGTCCCTTCTGTAAGGAGCTTAAAACAGAGAGGAGGGCTTCCCTGGTGGCGCAGTGGTTGAGAGTCTGCCTTCCGCTGCAGAGGACACGGGTTCGTGCCCCGGTCCGGGAAGATCCCACAATGCCGCAGAGCGGCTGGGCCCGTGAGCCATGGCCACTGAGCCTGTGCGTCTGGAGCCTGTGCTCCGCAACGGGAGAGGCCACAACAGTGAGAGGCCCGCGTACTGAAAAAAAAAAAAACAAAAACAGAGAGGAAGTCAAATCAAAACAGGTAAATGCATATATTGAACAAAGAAATACATTGGGACAAGGGCAGAAGGTTCTGAAAGCACAGAGAAAAGGCACTTAATTCAGTGCTGGAGGTCAGAGAAGGCTTTCCAGGAGGAGTAACATCAATGCCAATAATTCAGGAGAGTAGGATTCTGCAGAACTTTTCTAGCCTCAACTATACCTCTAGGGCCACTGGGGGACGCTGACCAACATTTAATGAAGCACACCATGCCTCTTCCCACTTCTTTGCTTTAGCTACACTATCCCCTTAGCCACAATATCTTCTCTTGAATTTGATTCTGATAGCATCTTTTTCATCATTTAATGCTCAGCTTTAATGTTGCCTTTAAGAAGCTTTCTTTGATCTTATTTTAAGAAACAGAACTGAAACTAAAAGATTCTAAACACAAGCTTCAAGTTCTATTAAATTTCCCTTGACCGTTCAGTCCCTCAGTTATATTATCCTTAATAGATCACAGTGTCCATTCTTTAACATTTCAAGGATAAGTCACACTGTACACTACTTGAGTGTTACTGGGGAAGCCTAAAGAGGGAAAATTACAACCAATCCTAAATTCTTCCAAGGCTTGTGTTATCACAGCATCTTGGTCTTTACCCAAAGCCAAGGAGTAAGAGAGCCAAAGCTCTTTCAGTTCCGTTGGATCCCAGTTGGGATATATGAGGTAGCCTGAAGAATAACCACCATCTGAATCCTTGGCCAACCGGTGGCAAATCTGGGTGAAAACATGTCAACATGGCATTGCAGAAGACCTCAATTTTTTCAGTCTAAAATTATATACTGGTTCTTTTGGCCATCATCAAATCTTTACAAATGGGACCAAGAGAACTTTCTTCAGAGATACGATGGGGACTAAAGAGAGAAACAGTATTCATATTACAGAGTTTTGCAAACTCTCCGGATGTCCTAAGAATGAGTTACAGATGCTTAATCCTAAATTAAGAAGCTAAATATAATGTGGACTCTACAAGTGGTAATTTTCTATAATTTGAGGAAAATAGTTGGTAGCTCAATCCCCACTAGAAATGGCTGGCCCTGGTTCTGCTCTGTTAAACATCTCTGTCAGCTTTTTATAAGGACCAGATCATCTAGAGAAGAACAACAGATTTTTAATAAAATTAATCAAGAAACTGTAATTTGAATTTTCCTCTGGACATGCAGGTGTTAATTTATAACAAGAGAAGTAATAAGAAATCACGGGACCTGTATTCATATCTGTACTCATTTCATCGAACCATTTCTTGGCTTTTCATATTTTGTATTATTGCCTTGTTCTCCTTTGTTTTGAAAAGAAACTTCATCAGTTTCCCTGTGGCATGCCATTTTATCTCCTTATTCTGCTTGCAGTAAAATATCAGCCTCTTATTAGCACAGCAACTTACAACAATGATTCTTTGTTCCCCCCCAAAAAAATGCATGAATAGTATATTATTAAAATAGAGAAGGAAGTGTATTTCGTTTCATTTGCTATTTACTTAGTGAATGTTGTCATGGAACTAGGTGCTTTACAAAAGACAAAGTGAAGCAATAATACAGTGCACTTGGTTCTTGCATTCATCATGAGGATCTGAGTATTTACCAAACTACCAAACAGTGACTTATTAATCAATTCACTTCAGGTAGGATGCAAATGTGCCTTTAAATTTATAGTCAGCTTTATGGAACCTCCATGTCACCAAGCACTGTATAAACTACCTTGTTGGATCTCCGAGGGCTTCTGAGGAAAGGTGAAACCAAAATAGGGGTGAGCGTAGGAAAGAAGATAGATGAATTTTGAAGAAAAAGAGCCAAAAAAGGTAACAGAAGAGAAACTGGGAAACAAAGCTACAGCAATGAATTTCATAGACAACTGACAGTTAACTCCAGATTCTAAATCAAATGCATACTTAACGGCTGTCAGGGTAAATGTTTTACTTATCTCACGCTGGCTCACACTTGTGACATCTGAAACTGTTTTTTCCTGCATGGGAGAAAATTTCTCTACATTTTTTAAAGATATTAATAACCTAGATTGTACTTTTATATTCACAAAGCTGAAGTCTGTTTCATCCTAAATAATAATCACATATAATCTGCCACACACACCATCTTGATGTGAAGGTTGAAATCAGGAAAACCACATTAATTCAGATCCCACTAAGTTCTGCATTTGTGGGAAGATAAACAGAAATCAGTAGAAGATTATGCTTGTGCATTTTGTCATGGCCCAAAGGGGGTCACACCTGTCAGAGGCAGAGACCAAAGGCAATGGGCAGCTGCCATGTGGGGGACTCCAACATTGGGGACACAGGGTTGCCTCTGCAGATCTTCATGGACAGGCTCCTCACACCTTTTCTCTTGGGAAGATTTTGGTGAGCCCTATGCTCAGAAATAAAATGGAAGGCAGAGAGCCTACAGGCAAGTCTTCCAATCACTATTTCAGAACCAGGTGCCAGAGACCAAGCCTCTGCAGGGGGAGCTCGGCTTCAGCCTGAGATCTGCTGCCATCCACCACCAGGCTCCAAGCTCTCTGGGTCTGAGTTGGTGGCTGGGGCCAGAAGAGGTCTGTTGCCTGGGGGCTGAGCAGCCTCCTGGGAACTAGCAACCCGCTTTGTGCCCACGGCTGGAGGGTATACAATCTGGGTAAATCCCAGCCTGGTGGAATACCAGGCAACATTCCACTCACAGGGAGGACCTAGGAGCCCTGGGGGACAGCTCATTCTAAGAGAGGAAGGAGCGGGGAATAGGGCAGAAGAAAGTAACAGAGCCCTGGTTACTTTCTATTCAAAGAAGGCAGTGGGAGGCAGCATGGGCTTGCAGCATCCTGGTTGTTACACCAGCCCTGGCCCAATCCCGTGGGCCACATGATCAGATCCCAGGTGAGAGAAAGAGGTTATGACCAAATTCTAAGACAGCTGTCTCAATAAATGCTTTAGCTCCGTGGAGCCCATGCCTCACATTGAGCGCAGCATAACATTAAAGGGAGAGAGGCTTCTCCCCGTTCCACAGACATTACTGAACCCTCTGAGCACAGCTGAGCCCACCAGAGTCAGCAAGAGAGGCTCCACGGCCAGAGAAGAAAGGCAGCCCTGGGGGTCAACCTCTCCCTCGGGACCCTCAGAATTACTCGAGGGAGGAAAGAGGACATTATTAGAGCACTTATGAGAGCAGTTTGAGAAAATAGAGTGTTCGAGGTTATGTTTCAAATAACTTTATATTTCTGAACATTTACAATTTCCTCCCATCTGCAATTTCCATTATCATCCATTTCAAAACAAGTAAATGACAAAGGATTGCATATTTGTCTTCAGAGAACATAAGGAACAGGTAAGACCAAGACCCACTCCACAAACATATTTGGCAGGAGCAGAACAAAACAATGCAGCGGATTGTTGGTGGGGAAAAAGGTAACAGACTTAAGATTTTAGGTCCTGCATGAAGAAAGAAAGCAGAGCTTGCAGACCCTGAAGATCCCCAACAGGGCTTGCCAAGAAAAATAATAGAAATATTTTAAACATTGGGATGGGAGAGGGAATTTTCAAATTTTATATAGGAGCAGACTCTATACAACCATTTAGTGGGATTTGTTCTCCCATTCAAACCAACATACTTAATTAGAAATAAATAATTCGTATATAGAATTTGGCCAAATAGTAGATTTTTCTTTTAATCTCCTACAAACACCTATTAATGGCTTTTGACAAAATGATAATTCCAAGTCCCTATAGGCCCTCTACTGCCAATGCTTTAGAGCCATTAGCTGAGTTACTATGGAGGCTTTAAAGTACTAGAATCACATTTCTTCTGGCATTCAGACCCTTATGGGGATTCAAACAGCTCTTTCCAGCCCTCAAGACCAATTAGGGAGGTGATACTGTGTTCGAATTCAGACTGCAAGAGGTTTCTCTGGCAGGTCAGGAAACCAAGTCCAAAAACAATGCAACCCCCTAAAAGCAGAAGGAATTGTGCATTTGTGTCTGGACCCAGCAAAGCACTCAGGAAACGTGCAGCCTCCTCTTGCTCTGCTTGGTTTTCCCGAAAGAACGATACTGTTCATGATGAGGGTATTGTTTATGGACGATGCAAAGGCACCTTACTCTTTCTTCTTCCGTCTCTAACTTGGCCTTTTCTGCTTGAGTCCTTTGCAGGTCTAGGCAGTGATCTGTGACGGCTGCTGTTCTCCAGTTGAGAGTGGGGACCCTACAGGGCAGGAACCACAGTAGGATTACCTCAATTAAACGCACAGACTTCAGGGCTGGAGAAATAAATCAACAATTGTATACATGGTCCCTCTGCCAAACAAGATTTCTGTTTTCCTATTCTGTGCTTCCTTCTCCTTCCTAGTTCTCTCCCACCTGTCCGGGCCTCACTTATCTTCTCATGCTATTCCTCCCTTTAGTTGGGCTGCCCAGACCCCACAGCAGGCTATCTCCACACTGACACTCAGACCAGGCAGAAATAACAAGAGCCCTCGACTCGCCTTTTTTACTCCTTGGCCTGTAGCTCTCACCCTCCCTGTTTTATGTCTCTTGACTTGCTCCCAAGGAAGTTTTATGCTTTCAGAATGCTCCCACGTTCCTTATCTGTATCCAGTGAGTTATCTTTCAGAGCCGTGAGTTGGGGATTAAAAATTAATGTGCTCGGGCTTCCCTGGTGGCGCAGTGGTTGAGAGTCTGCCTGCCGATGCAGGGGACACGGGTTCGTGCCCCGGTCCGGGAGGATCCCGCGTGCCGCGGAGCGGCTGGGCCTGTGAGCCATGGCCGCTGGGCCTGCGCGTCCGGAGCCTGTGCTCCGCAGCGGGAGAGACCACAACAGTGAGAGGCCCGCGTA